GGAGAATGGGGAGAGTTCTGTTTTGGATGTTCTCGGTGGGACCTCGAACTGTTCTTTCTGCATGCAGTTACCAGAAAGGCCTGTTACGGTTTGTTTCCTGATCTCTTATTGATTAATCTATTACTTTAGGCACTACTCGTCTTTGTTGATTTGATGAATTTTCTTCTTGTTTCATGTCTTTCTCTATGTTCTTTACGTTTTCAAGCTTTATCACAAGTTAGCTGTGATCTTCTGTTCTAAAAATCTATATAAAAAAATTTCAGTTCTTTTTAGGATAAGACCCTAATCCAGCCTCATTTTAGTGATCTACCATGGGTTATAAGTGGATTGAATTCATTACTTGCGAAAACTTTTGCTTGATGTTCCTAATCTTTCATAGATACTACACGACACTGTAAGGTTATGCATATGCTGATGAATCGGACAAAAATAATGTTATTTTGATCTGGTTGTTTTCTATTATATTTCTTTAGCTCAGCCTGTTTCACTCATTTAGGGAATTTATGCATTTCTCTTGTAATTTGAGTGGACTACTACTTCTATCATCGTTGAGTTCTCGGTTAGTGTTATTACCTATTGCCACTGAAATTGGCATTTGAATTAGTGACATTTTATTATTTCATCTTTAAAATTATAAGGTTGACAGTTATTTCCGGTAATGCTTACTATAAAGTTGATCAATGGAATCTTTATACATGTTGTATTTGATAACTTCTTGTTTTTTCTGTTTCAGACACCATGTGGTCACAACTTTTGCCTAAAATGCTTCTAGAAATGGATTGGGCAAGGGAAGAAAACATGTGCAAAATGTCGAACTCATATTCCACAGAAAATGGCAAGCCAGCCTCGAATCAATTCTGCACTTGTGTCTGCTATTCGTATGGGAAAGCTGGCAAGAGACAATGTAGCTGCAGGACCTTTGAAGGTTTACCATTTTGTACACAACCAAGACCGGCCTGAAAAGGCATTTACAACAGAATGTGCACAGAGAGGTGGAAAGTCCAATGCAACTAGTGGGAAGATATTTGTCACCATACCACCTGATCATTTTGGGCCAATAATAGCTGAATATGATCGTGAGAGAAATCAGGGTGTGCTGGTTGGAATACCGCCAGTGGGGAGCTCACTTTCCTCATGTTGCAGGCATTGCAGGGTAGTCAAATTATGGTGCTCAATCAGTGGCACTTTTAGGAGGTTATAAGGATGATGAGGACCACGGAGAATGGTTCCTTTACATTGGAAGGTATATATCAGGTAGCTTTATGACATATGGATATTCTACTTTTATTAATCACTTCAGTTTGATGATGAAAGTAGACATCAAGAATTAATTGAGACTGGTTATAAATTGTTTACTACAACTTGATTGTTTATTTAAGGTTGTTTATTTAAGGTTATTGACTTATTTGGTATCTGGATGTAATGCCTCCTCATTGCCTGCATAAATTTAAATGGAAAGTGCTTAAAACGGAAGGCTTCCTTTCACACTCAGTTTCCTAGTTTTATTCAATCTTCAGGCTATACTGCTTATATGTCATAAATCATTTTCCTTTCAAGTTTGCATTTCCTTTTTAATGTTGATCTTTCACATTGCACATGTACAAGAAGTAGCAACCGTGGTAGATAGGCCTGGTTATGATAATCTACTTGTAATTTTTGTGGTAGCAGTGCTTTGTGTTTATTATTATATGATTGATTTTTTATAGTGAAATGAATATTCATCTATACGCACATTCTCATCATTGTTTTTCATCCTATTGTTTGTTTTTATGCATGTGGGTGTCAGTGGAGGTAGAGACCTTAGTGGGAACAAGCGGACAAACAAGCAACAGTCATTTGATCAAAAGTTTGGCAAGATGAATGAGGCCTTACGAGTAAGTTGTAAAAAGGGCTATCCAGTTCAAGTCGTAAGGCAAGTTGCATAATTTGAACACCTTCCCTCTCTCTGATTGTTTCTGCATGAACATAAAATGCACAATTAAGCATCTTATTAGAATCTATTTGGAAAACTGTTTTTGATTTGATTTCAGTTCTTTTCATTATGTCATAGACCTATGGTTAGCATTGTCAACTCTCAGTGTTTAGATGGAGCTCTTTGGTAATTGGGGTGTTAAGAACTTAAAACGACACCAAGTTAAACGATTTTGTTTTCTTGTTGATAAGCAGGTCCCACAAAGATAAGCGTTCTGCATATGCCCCGGAAAAAGGGGTGTGATATGATGGGGTTTACAGGATTGAAAAATGTTGGTGAAAAGTTGGAATCCAAGTAACAAATTCCTATCAGATACATTAAAGTTACCTATTATATTCTGCTCATGCTTAAATTAACTTGCTGATGGGCCTTTCATCTACTAGGGTTTTAAAGTTTGTCGGTATTTGTTTGTGAGATGTGATAATGAGCTTGCCCCATGGACAAGGTTAGTGCTTTTCACATGGTTAATTCTTTCTTCTCATACCGGACTCACTAACATTTTGTGAACCTGAATGTAGTGATGAAACTGGGGATCGACCTAGGCCTTTGCCAGTTATTCCAGAACTAAAGAAGGCAATGGACATAACAGAGAGGACAGAGAGTCCCTCCTGGGACTTTAATATGAGTGGATGCAGTCTCTTCACTTTCACTTGTTTATTTTTCCATTTTTTGTTCTTTGGCCATGCAAATGGGCAACATGTAATAAATGAATCTTCATTTGGATCACCGGTTGCATAATTTACTATGGGAAAAATGATCTCAAAGAACCATGCACCAACATAAGTTGAATAGTGTCAACTGCAAGATAAGATTTCTCTATTTCTAAGCTTAATGATTTCCCCCCTATAGTTACATAGTTCTTGATTCAATCAGGAAGAAGATGGTCGTTGGAAGTGGAAGAAATCTCCACCTCTTAGCAAGAAACCGGTGAATACAGGAAATCCAGAAGATTCAAAGAGGTCATTGAAAGCAATAAGGAAAGCATAGAATACTAGTATTAGAGAGAAGCTCCTGAAAGGTTTGTTCTTTCCTTGTTTCCATACATCCTATGCAACTATGACGTACATCTATCCATAGCTAAGTTAGGAGTTTAGTGGGGCGAACAATGGTCTGGTTGTGAGCTTAAAATGGGTTTTAACAAAATAATCTAGTTAAAGATGATAAATAATATAAATTGGTCATTAATGACATTTGGTTATTCATATATATTCAGTTGTGAGATCTGTCAACTTAATGATGCAGTCTTATTTTTAATGCTTGGTTAAGTGAAAGTTTGATCGGCTCATTGAAGTTCTCAATGGCCTTCTCATGAGTAGAGAACTGGTTTTGAAAAATATGCAATCTTTTATTTAAATGTTTAAATTTTTGCAGTTGATCTTGTAGATAATGGTGTCATAAATTAGGCAAATTTTAGGTAATGAATTCTATATGAACTTTTTTAGTTTTCATATGCAGAGTTTAGTTGCTTGATCTGTCGGCAAGTGATGACTCTCCCAATTACAACTCCTTGTGCCCACAACTTTTGCAAGTCTTGTCTGAAACAAAAATTTGCTGGTCACACTCTTGTTAAAGAGAGGAGTAGAGGTGGGCGGACACTCTGATCACAAAGGAATATATTGCACTGCCTTTCTTGCCCAACTGACATATCTGAATTGCTGCAAAATCCTCAGGTATGCAGACTCTATTTAAAGGGCAGAGTGTGTTTGTGCTTGCTTTATAGTGCATTTTTGCTTTTGATTTGAAGTTAGATAGGTAAGTTGTGAAGGTAAAGTTAAACATGAATTGTTAATGGGTTGAAAATTGAATTGAATGTTGTACATTTATAGACCTGGTCTTTGTTTGCTAAGTCCAATGTTTAAATGGTATGCAAGTTTAAACTTTCCCCTTTTCCAAGAATAATCCCTGCTTACAAATGGAGAAATATACTGCAGCAGGTGAACAGAGAATTGATGAATGTGATTGAGTCTCTAAAACGTCAGAGTGAAGAGAAACAAGAAATTGCTGAAGGATCATGTGAAGCGACAGATGATGCAGGGGAAAATGCTGATCTTTCTGTTGGTGATGAAGAAATTGGCAATGAAAATTCTAAAATGGCTAGTTCAAAAGAAACCGTGAATCCTCCAGCTGATTGCAAACCCAAAAGGGCTGGCAAGAGAAGGAAAGTGAATGCAAGGGAAAATCCCAACCTTTCTGTTGGTGATGCAGGAATTAGCAATGAAAATTCTAAAATAGCTGGTCCAAATGATAATCCTCCAGCTGATTACAAACCCAAAAGGGCTGGCAAGAGAAGAAAAGTGGATGCCTAAGGGTGTATGCTGAGTAATGATGATACGAAGGAAATCAAGATTGCTGAGAATAAACCTACTAATATAGATAGAAATATCAAAGTTAAGAAACAGCAGCCTGGCGTTCTTGAATGTAATTACGCTCTTGCAAAGAAACGCACTTATAGGAAGAAGAATGCTAATGTTGGGGATCCTACTCTGAAAGTGGATGTTGGTATTAAGACAAGTACCAGGAAGGGTTAAGAAGCAGCAAACAAAGCAAATGTTTCACCATCAAGCACCCTCTAGGTGTAATCATCCAATGAAGATTTTCAATGACCTCTATTTTGATTGGACCATCAGGTAGCTTCTGTTAAATCTACACAGTGAAACTTTATCCAGGGATCCCGTATTTTTATTATTTTTGCTTTGTTTTGTTTTGTTTTGGAGTTACATTCTCTTGAAGAATGAGATTGCTGACTATATGCAATTCAACAATGGTCTTATTTGTGACCATCTAGTAGATTTTGTTACTTTGTCCAAGTAAACTTTATCAAGGGATCTGGGATTTTGTTATTGATTTTCAGTACTGATGGGTATCTTTCGGTGATACCTTCTCCTGAAGAAAATCAGATTACTGGTTCTCTTGTATGCTGGACAATGTATTCAATTTAAAGCAAAAGATGACATATGGTCCATGGGAATTCTCTCATCTATTTTCTTCCCCTCATTAGTTTTCTTCTTTATTATCCGTGACTGTTTATCCCGAAAACAGGTGCTATTTGGTTTTAGCTTTTCATGGACTAGAGACTTATGGAGTGAGGAGAGCAGTGTTTGTTCTCCCTATTACAGTGCCTTGCTACTGCGAAGGTTACTCTTATCATTTTCATCAAAATTACGTGCAATCTTTGTGTATATTTAAGAGATAAGATCCTTTTGCTAATCTTGTACAGAGTGCTTCTAACATAATCTTTTTGGTTTCAAGTTCTCTTGGAATAAACACAAATAGTTTCTAAACTTTTTTAGTCATGCGAATTCATTCTCATGAAAATAATGCTGGAATTCCGCCCTGAAGAACAGAATATTGGATTTTGATACTTTTGAATTGGAAGTATGAGGATTACATTGCAATCTACAGGAAAGTTCAAGGACCATTTCATGGACTTACCCTGTTTGCGTAATTAATTTTTTTTTCTCTTAATTTACCTGTTGTCCCTTTCAACTGATATCATCATCCTGTTTCACTCAGAGCAGTGCTAGGGGCACTCGCCTCTTGCACTGTCCGGCCAGCACTTCCCCTTTTATTGGGCCACGTAAGCTTGCTTTGTTTTGCTTTGAGGCAACCTCTCACCGACCAATATAACGTGGCCCAATAAAAGTGAAAGTGTTGGTGGAGAGTGCAGGAGGTGAGTGCCCTAGTATTGCTCTTTCACTCATAACTAACTTATATAATTTTTTTTTTTTGAAAGCTGTAATTATATGATAATATTATTATTTGTTCTTAGGATAAAGAAATATTAACTTGAAATTTAAATTTTATATTATGAGGTATCATCACTTTACTTTTTAAAGAGAAATATGATCATTTAAACTATATAAATGATTGACAATTAACTTGTATAATTGAAACAAAAAAAATCTATAAGGGTAAGTAAATGTGATTTTATAAATTAAGTTTAAAATTTAAATTTTAATATTAATATTTAAAAAGTTAAAGTCTTTTTAAATATACTAAAGTTGACTAAAAGTTGTTTTTAAAGTTACGCATAAGGATATCTTTACTGTAAAAAGAAAAAAAAAAACTAAGATTTCGTTTGAAAAATCTGCACAATGCTATGGTTGTAGGATTTACTTTTCTATTTTCTTTGAAATATGTTATAAAATATTAACTAAAATAAATATTTAATATATTTTTAAAATATTAAAAAAAAAATCTAGTACCACAACTCAAGTTACTCAACGAAGGCAAGGTTATATCCAGTTGGTGGTGTCATAGTTTAGTTTTTTTTTTTTTTATTAGGGCAAGTGGCTCGAAGGAGGAGAGAAAGGAGAGGGAGGGGGGAAGTGAGGAGGAAAATTAAACTTTTATTCGTGATGAAGAAAAGTTTACATTAAATTGTTAAATCACTAAGTTGACATATTTTTTTTGATGTCATAACTCTTTATTTAGTTAGCAAAAAATGCAAAAGGAAATTGATGGTATCATAGTTCTTTATTTTTTGTTTTAATTTTTTCACATACCCAAACAGAAAAAAAATGAAGAGAAGAAAAGAAAGAAAAATAAAAGGATGTTATATCTTATATTTTCTCCCTTTCATTTCTTTTAAAATAAATAATTTTGTTAATTTTGTTCTTTTAGTCTTTAATGAAACTTATTATAATTAATATAAAAGAACTATAATTCATTTACATAAATTTTTATATTTATAAGTTATATAAAATTTTAATTATTATAATAAATTACGATTATTTATAATATAAAATTAAATAATTAAAATTTTATATAAATAATATATTTAATAATGGTAGATAAATAGATTCTACCTCGGTAAAAGCAGAATCGACGACCTAACAAAAAAATATTAAAAAGACAGAACAGAATCCGCGTTGAGAAGAACCAAATTAGAACAGGGATCCTCCGCTGCGCATTTAGTTTGTGTTTGGATTGCTGAAGTACCCTTCTCTCCATCTCCACACGAGCTCTCCCGTAATAAATCATAAATTCAAAATCCCTAGTAAAACGGTGGGTTGTTCGAGACCCGTCTGTAACTCCTCTCTCACCTCACGAAAGCACGTGCCTTTACCATTCCCACACTGAAGCGTGGAGGTTTAGCGGTTTAGTTTCATATTTATCCTGCTTGGTCCGGATGGGTTTGTAGATGTAGTGATGGATTTCTGGGCTCCATAGCATCCAATATGTTATCTTTAAGGTCATTTTCTTTTGTTTTCTTTTGGGTAACTATTAAATTGTTTGTCTGCTTCTGTCTGTTTGATATCATAGTTTTTGTGTATTTTTAATTTGTGGGATATAAGTGCTCCTGTATTCAGTGCATGTTTCCCTCCAGTTTAGAAGGTCAATTGTGGTTTTAGCTTCCCTTTTTATGATTGAGGATTTGCTGGGAATAACTGCTCATGCTGGTTCAGTTGCTTGCCTTAACTTGCTTTGCTTTGACAATGTAGGGATCTTTGGAGAAAGCATAGGAGGAAGATTTTTGTTACTGCTGGTGTTCTAGGAAGTGGGTATCTTCTGTATAAATTATATGATGCTCGAAAGCATAGTCTTGCTGATGTGGAAAGGGAACTTGCAAGAGAGAGGGAAAATGATGAACTCATTAAAGCCCAGTTAAGAGGGATCATCTCTTTATTTTTTCTTTGCTTATGCTTGTGTTTTCATGTGTTGTGATTCTATTAGAAGCAATGTATTCTTCTTTTTTCTCATATTCTCTGGTTTGTTTATTGTTTGTAGATTGCAAGCTCATTTTGAGAATATTCAGAGAATAGCTGATACAACAACATTGCCTCATGCAATGCATTGTTTAAGTTGTACGATAGCTGAAGAACTGGATCTTTCCCCACTTACTGAGATGCTAAAGAAGGGGAAGGACCAGCCAAACAGCTTGTCATTTTCAGAGAAACTTGAATTGTGGGATAGACTCACAATTTTAAGTATGATGCCCCAAATTTCTTGTTTCTTATATTTCTGGTGCTTTCCACAGCATAGCCTATTCTAGTATTCTTGCTCTGGACCTTCATTTCTAATACTTGATGTGGTTTTCCAGGCTTCACAAGAATGGTGGTGTCAGTATGGGCTGTAACAATGCTTAGCTTATATATTAGGGTTCAAGTCAATATTCTAGGAAGACATTTGTATATTGATACAGCCTGTGGTCTTGGAAGTCCCCATTTACATGTAAGAGCCTTTCATAATCAATTTGGTATCTTTTCTCTGTTGTTTAATAGTTGCCATTATGGTCTTAGAAGAAGGTTTTTCTGGGATGCTAGTGTGAATAGGAAACAGTCCCTGTTATGGTTGGATATTGCTCTCACTTTTTGGTGGGCATGGGACATTTGTACCCTTGGTTGTTGTAGCCTTATTTCATATTTGTCACTTGGCATGATCCAATTTCTTCTGAAGTTCTTTTTCAACTTTCTTCTAATTGGACAATTGTGTGTGAGAGAATTCTTATTGATTTGATGGGTTTGTATTTTTAATACTACTTTCTTCTCTCTTAGCCATGTTCAATTTTGCCTAGGTGTACCATATTCCCAGACCAGGTTTAGAATGGTTGCTGTGGAAACAGAAAAAATAACTTTTGAACTAGATGTTAGTCCTTAGTCCTTCTACATGTCTTGTAAAGTTGTGTTTTGAAGACAGGATTAGGAGAGGAACTTCATGTCAAAAATGGTGATGAGACTTTACTATCTTTGAAGACCCTGTTATCTGTATTTGCACTTTAGGAGGCAGTGAGCTTTTATCTTTCTAAAAGTATTTTCTGTTGTCCTTCCAAAAATTTTCACACTAATTTTTTTTAAACACTTGTAAAGTTCTATGTGCTCTTTTACATAAAGATAAAAAAATACAAGTACCAGGGCACATAAAATAAAGAGAAAACAATAAATAAAACTGATGATTGAGATGGTTTCCTGCTACACTAACTTATGACAAGAATATACCTATTCTCATCATTTTGTGGGTTGTACTGAGTTTTGGAACTCATTTAGTTAACAAAATGAGCAAGTGACCTTTTTTGTAACTTCAGAACTGGTAATGATCAGTTTATGGCTAATTAATCCATTAAAGAAGGGGTTTTCTGACAGCTATGGTTCCACAAGTGATAACTGTTTGCTATGCCTACTTTCTTCAGATTGAAGTGAAATAGAATTCGTTAGTTGCAGCGCATAGCATCAGACATACAATCAATTCTTAGATCTGATTCGTTTGCTTGTATGTTAATTCCTGCTGTGTTAAATATTTCAGAGCTAAAACTTTTCCTGTATTTTTAATTTAACACTATCAGTTCTAGTGTGAGCATCCTGGGTTTGTTACAGTGTCCCTTTTTTTTTTCTCCCCATGGTTGTGTAACCTGTGTTTTTGAACCCTTCATTAGTATTGTTTTTGATACATTTGGTATTGTAGATCTCTCTTGTTAGCTCCCCTATGGATTCACAGCTTAAATATCTTGTTTGATGCACTTTCAAAAAGCATCTGGATTTATCTTATTCTTTTAAAGTGGTCTTCATTTCATTCCTCTCCTGTAGGAGGATGCTGATCTCATTGAGAGGGATGACCAGCAGAAATATCTGGCAGGTGCTGATTTTCTTGCCAATCGTGGCATGCCAGTCTTGATTTCTAGTGTGCAGGTAGCAGCTACAGAAGTTTTAAAGGGGTGAGGATTTCCAATCTTTTCTAGAAAGTATAATTTGCATAGAGATAAGCTGAAAGTTTTATGGCTTGAAGTATTAGTGACTATTGACTATGAGAATTGAACGATTTAGAAATTCAACTCAATTCAACATATTTTTCTGTTTATCCAAACCTACAAGAAGAAATTTGTTCTAAAGTAGAAGAATGAGATCTTACCCAAAAATAAAAAGGAAAAAAAAAAAAAGGAAGTGTAAAATGAGATCACAACGGTGTGATAGGGGCAGTTCCAAGGTGAGATAATCATGATAGTGGTGTCCATCAATGCTTACATACTGAGTCTTTTCTCTTTTTTTTTGGCCAACACATACTGAATCAATACTCAAAATTACTGTCCTGGAACAAGAAATAATTTGATGTTCACAAATCCTCCCTTCAACCAAACCTTATAATCTTAAGCACTGCTAAGATCAGATAGTCTAGATGTGTCTTGATCTCATTGACCCTTTATATTGATCAGAGGGAGTGTAGAACTCATCTTTTTGTCATACATTGATGTTAGAGCTGAAACATAATGCTAAAAGGACAGAAATAAATAAATAAGTAAATAAATAAATAAATATATATATGTTGGAAGAATCTTTTGTCAAACTTCCTAAACATATAGGATTACTTTCCAACCAAAATGAAAAGAGAATGGAAAAGAAACCCAAGAAATGGATAATGCACGCTTCCACTCTTGATATTGAGAAGGTGCTGCTTTGAAATTTCAATCATCTGGCAGAAAATAAATCTAATGAAATGATTTTGTGATTTACAGAAAAGGAAATAGAATAAAAAATATTCATCTTTGTTTTTTCACTTATTTAGTTTTGATGCTTGTTTGCAGAAAGCAGTTGATGGATTTCTTCAACACTACAGTGCTTCATGAAACTGTCATGCAGATACTAGACACGTTTATGAACACAGGAAGTCCCCATCACTGGGTGGATTGCTTGGTGCCTGAAGATTCAAGTGTAAAAAAACTTTCTAGAACTGCCAGCAGTGACAGCACGATTCTTTCTGATTTTACCAAATTCAATAAACTTATGTTTGAGACAAAAGAAGTACTATCAAGGTATCTCTAATAGACTGGCCTAGAAATATGCTAATTTATTATGTGCCGCTATGAAGCAATTGATGTTATAAAGTTCAACCTGAGGAGGTTTTGATCAATTGTGCACGGCTTCATTGAATTTCAAATTAGGGCTAAAATGTTGATTAGTTTGATTTAACAAGTATCTGCTGATTCTGCTCTAATATTCAAATGATCACTTTTGTTTTAGTGGGGTAGTGTTTGGCTAGTAACTGGGCATGCAGTCATCTAGAAGTACTATTTAGCATCTAACCTGAGTTTTGGGCATGATGTGCAAATTTAGTGTGGGGCTTAATGCGTGGACCTGTTTCTCAGCTTGAAACCTAGGACTGTGAGGATCTGCAGGCATTGATTATAGTCAGAATGGAGCTGTGATCTCTTTATCAATATATTTAGAAAAAAGGGAGTGTCCTTGCATTTAAAATGTCAAGACGTCGAATTACAGCTATTAAATATGTGAAACATAGTGTAGGCCTTAACTTTATCAAATTCATTATGTGGCTATTATTGGACATCCTAACATTTTTTATGCCAGGATGTCCTGATTTTTCCCTTTTTCTTATATTAAACTGTATTTCATTACAAACCTCAAAAATGTGTTATGAGGTTGCTTGAAGGGGTTGTGATGACTGTTCATCTGCGTACATTATTTTCTTTTCTGCTTGTGAACTTTAGTAAAATTTTGACATAAAATATAAGCCTTTCCTTCCCCTTCCATCTTGCATTCATTATTGCAACATTAAGCCTTTTATAGATGCAGATTCTGTCAGAGTTATTCCTGCGTTGTTTTCGCTTTCCCTTGTTTATTTATGTTTGCTCAAGATGGAAGATATGCTGTTAAAACCTAGTCTGTCATATACCCACTTTCAGTAATTTTTTGTTTCTTGCAGTGCTGAATTTGGCAGTGTCGTTGAAATATCTCTGAAAGCAGTGGTGGATGCACTGGTTGAGGATACAAGCATTCAATCTGGGGGCAACAGTCTAGCATCAGGGATGCCCCTAGCAAAACTTTTGCCAAGGATTGCACAAATTGGTCCGTCTTTGGTTGATGAACCAATCAAGAATCGCTTTATCAAAATCATACAGAGTGTTCCAGAGGTCGAGCTTTTCTTCACCCTTCTTTATGCAAGCATGCCAGCCTCATAAGATAGGCTGGCTCCTGGTTCATATATTTTTCGGACATTTCATTTTCATTCAAAGGAAGGCATGAACGTAAAGAATCTGAATAGGTCTGTCTGTAATCTTTGCTCATTACTGAATCCGTCAATTGTGAATTGTGGACAGAAGGCGGCATTGGACCTAGGATTTAGCCGTTATAGGATTGAAGAAAGATTTGAGTAAACAATTTTCTTCCTTATTTTTCTTGAATAGAAAGTAATAAATTCAGCAGGCATTTACAGTAGAAGAGAAACACCATTCTTCCGCCTAATTATTATTCTTCTACTCCATTTTCATTCTTCTAACTGTCTTCTCCATTTTCTGTGATTTTGTTGTTACTTGGCTCTACAAGAATCCTTCCACGGTTCTCATATTTTTCCATGAACTTGTATTTTAAATCCTTCAGCACTTCAAGCTCATTGGAGCTCAGCCCTCACCTCAATGCTTGCAGTAAAACTGGACTAAATGGTGAGAAATTTCAGGAGGTAGAAAGTTCACCTCACCACATGATTTTCTCAAAGTTCTCAGTAAAACACGAGCTTTCGGCCCTACTTGAGCTCCGGCTTGACCATATTTTCAACCCTAAAATCCGCTCAAGCTATCACCTTTGCTAATCTAGTTTGAGTTTAGGGTATATTTGGGTTAACTTCGTAAGAGCTTTTATTTTTTTATTGTTTATGAATGGCAAATTTAAATTTTTATTAAAAAAAATTTTAAAATTGTTTTTAGAGATAAAATAAAATGAGTAAAAAGTGAGTACAAAAAATTTATAAAAAGTAAAAATTTAAAATTTTTAAATTTTTACTGTTTATGATTTTTTTAATGTTAAAAAAAATTTAAAAACATAAGTTTAGTTTAAAATTATGGTATCTCACTAGAAGCTTAGTTTATTTACGGCCTTACATAGTATTAATGGTAAGGACTAAACTGCAACAAAAGTGAAATGCATTGGGACCCAAATTTGCAATAAAAGAATATGAGGGATGAAATAAAAAAATACCCTCAATCGGTGTTCTTCCAATTTCCAAAACCATTCGTAAACCCATTCTGAGGGTCGCTTCCCTCGATCCCACTCGTGGTGGTAAACCGTGAAAGTAGCTAGAGCAGCAATGGCTAGCGGTACCCTCAACGGAGACATCCTAATGCTTGAGGCAGCACCGGAGGCCGCTCGGCCATGGGCGAGCGCGTCGAATGCGGAGATAGTAGACGCATTACCCTACATAGACGAGGATTATGGGGATTCAAAGGTTAAGGCGGAAGTCGATCGATTGATCGAGGAAGAGATGCGCAGGAGCACCAAGAAGCCCGCTGACTTCCTCAAGGATTTGCCCCCCTTACCCAAGTTCAATTTCGAGGTTTTTTTTTTTTCTTTTAAGCTCAGTGTCCCCTTCCCTGCACTACCTTCCTAGTCTCAAATTTTCTTGTAGTCAGATTCCAAAAATGAAAAAGAAAAACAAAGTAGAAACTTTTTATTTTTCTGTATTTTATTTTGGATTTTAAAGCTTTTCTAGGGTTGTTATTTTGTTAATATGTTAATTATACAAAATTATGCTTTCTCATTTTGGTTTTCCAATAGTGAAAGCGAGAGTTGTGTAGTACTGTATCGAAATAGGTGATTGGGGCAAAGAAACTTACTTGTGTAATTTGAATGAATCTCAGAATCACCCTACGATTGCCAAGGAATATGAGCGTGTGAGAGCTGGAAGGCCTCCGGTTGCACTTGATTTTTCGTCAAGATATCTAATCGAACCGCCACCAATGAGTAAGAGAAATGATGAAAGTGCTTGGAAGCAGTCACTTCAGAGAGCTCAACGCTCACTACAACATCAAGTCACTAGGTATGGGTCTATTCTATCAAACTGATATGATGGATATATCCATGATTCTACAAAGTTTTTCTTTTCTTATCAATGTATTAGCTGTTAGTATGATTTGGCCTTATAATGGTGTGAAGAAAGTAATTTTATGATGCCTTGGAAACTGTTAAAGTATGCTGTATAAATGCAACATGGATATATCCATCGTGTCATTTTTTTCTTTGCAGCATAACTGTTGTTTTTCCAAAAAAGAGGCTACTATTAATCTGTGTAACATAAGTAGTTAACATAACTTTATTGTTGCATACATTCTGAGAAAGCCATCTCTTTGCTTATTTGTTTTTGTCATTACACAGTTTTATAAATTTTTTGGGAATTTAATTTAATCATGGGAATTGGACATTTATTAAATTATTTAATTCACTTGACCCGCAATGTGCTTTGCCTTAATTCTTTTACTTACCATGTTATTACAATGCTTGGATATCTTTCTAGTTTGTGAAAAGTGGCTCTTGAGCATTTTCTTAAAGTTGCTTATATGCTATGTTGAGTTTTCTGTGCTTATGAATCTATTGCTTGATCTCTAGGCTGGAGAATTTGGATCTTATGATAAAATATGGTCCAGATGTTTGGAGACAGAACAACCAACGATTAGAAGCACTCTTATCCAGGTCCATTTTTCTGATAAAATGTTAAGTTCGGTATTTGTTATATTGCCTTTGTTCATCTGCTGATGGTTATTAAAATGTTTTAGCTGCTCAATAATCTCTATTTTCTGTCAAGCATATTTTGAACTTCAAACGTTTTGAAGTGATATTGGATGCTTACTCTTTGCATATTGGTTTAGTTTAATGGAAATACCAGACCACATTTGACTTTGATTGAATAAACCTAGAGTTGCCTTCTTCAGTGGTACACAACTTTTGCTAGGATTGTGCATTTGACAGATGAAGCAATGAAGGTTATACCATTTCAGTGTTCTCAATCTAGAGATAAATGCCTCCAGATATTTATGTCTTGAGTGAACTTAGACCCCTCTAGCTTGGTGTGTGCCTTTGGTACATGGGGTGTGCATGTTGGTGCTTGTTATACCCTCTGTTGTAGGTATTTAAGTAGTCCTCTAGTCTATAGACATGGATGAGAAATATTAGAGATGTCATCTCTAATGTGTATCAAGTATCGACTATTTGTAAAAGGTTTTAAACAATAAAAGGTTTTGAACAGGGCTCATAAATTCTGTTGAAAGATAAATTTCTTATGTAATAAAGGGTCAATTGTTTTAGATTTTGTAGTTCAATAATGGTTTTAGCTTACTAGGGTATGTGATGATATCATTGGCATGCTTATGCGAAATAAAATATGACTATTTGATGGTGATCTGATTTTGATTTTTTAGGTCATTTTTTCTATATTGGCTGTTAGTTATCCATAAGATAATTGGATAAAATCACCGTCTTTCCCCATGGTCTATAATTGATATCTTGTTTTCAATTAGCTCCTCTATGTTGAAATTCGTTATAACTTTCTAGGGTGTCTATCTTCGATTTTTGTTTTTGGCAAAAGTATGGAAAAATGTCCCAAACTTGTACAAAATTCTCAATTTCAGACCCAAACTCTAATTGTGCTCAATTAAGGTCCTTAACTACACAAAATTCACAAATAAGTTCCTAATTGGATGGAACATTCTCTTGCTGTCAAATGTCTTGGATGCCTGTTAAGTGACTCTCCAATGCAACCTTATTTGATGGCATCCAATGAGAATGTCCAAGACATTTAACGGCAAGAGAATATTTCATCCAATTGGGACCTTATTTGAGAATTTCATGTAATTCAGGACCTTAATGGAGTGCAATTGAAGTTTGGGTCCAAAATTGAGAATTTTGTGCAAGTTCAGGACCTTTTTCCATACTTTTGCCTATGTTTTTTCTCCCATTAGAAGTCAATCTCTTCATTTATGTGGGTTTTCTTTGCCATTTCCTTCGTGTTGTAGTATCCTTATCTCCTTATCTGCTTTGCTTATTTTGGAGCTTGCTCTTGCATGTTTATTGTTTTTAGTGGAATTTGTACGATTTAATTGAAATTTGTTGATAAAGATTTTCTCCTGAGAAGCCATGATCTGCTATTCAATTGCTTATCTTCTGTGCATACTAGCTAATGCTTCCTTGTCTATATTTACATGCTGTTAAATTCATGATAAGAATTTTTCATCTGTTGCATGCTTTCCAGTAGATGTTAGCATGGTTGGAACAATCTTGGTTCCTTTCCATCCAACAAATCAAAGTTTAAAGTTAGCTCATGGAGGATTTTAGCTTTTTGTTGTTTGTGCCATTCCACTTTTCTTCAGTTGCATTACCTCAAAGGTTTCTATTTATTTATTTATTTTTATCTGGCAGAATGCAAAAATTAGCTCAGGAGCAGAATGAAAAAATTGAAACTGTAAACCGTGAAAGAAAATATCATCAGGTATTTACATTTCTAATTATCCACCTTCTGTTGAGTTTCCATACCTTTTTGCATTCTAACTTGATAGTTGTGGTTATTTTTTTCAATGATCAGCAAAACACTGCGTATGAGCTGAATACTTTGTCTGCACAATGGAAGGAGCTTTGCCAAAAAAATATAGAAATTCAAGCTGCTTGTGCTCAAATTGAAGGCCATCTAGACGAATTAAGGAAGGAAGCTGCTGAGAGGTAATCTACATTGTAGTGTTGCATTTCTGTTTTACCTCTAGCCCTTTGGAGCTAATTTGATCTACGTACCTATGCAGAGGCTGGAACTTGGAAGCTGAATTAGAGAATGGTGCTGTATTGCATTCAGGATAGTAAGGTATGCTCACTTGTTTCTGGTATTTGATTTGGTTATCATTGTATTGCTCCAAATTCTAAGATTTTCAGATATGTTGAAGCAATAATGTGTTATCTTTTGTAAATGTGGAATAAGCTAAGTAGACTTGTTTCCCAAAATCTATCTTTACAATAATATGTGTTAACAGTTGATTTGACTTGTAAACTTGTTTCTCAAAATTGTCACAGCTTTAAATTGTATTGATTGTTGCCTTGTTTTGTTGACTATATGCTACAGGCTGTTGAGGAGAATCAGTTGAGTTGAACATTAATGGAAGCCATGGAATGATCTGCATTCAAACCTTTCGATTCCAGACTTTAGTTTGCTGCTGCACCTTCAATGGATAATCATATGTGATTTTGTAGCAGCTTTGTGACTTGGGAATCACATCCCAATTTGCCATTGGATGTCCCTATCTGCTTGTTTATTGTACGCTGTCTACCATGTACTCTTACATTCCTGAGAAATCTAAGTAGTCTGGTGTGATTACCACACAACCTCTCCCATTTTGGTTTTCCTTTTAGTCTTTGCCGTTATTTGTCATCTGTTTTAGCTTGAAGTTTAGTGAAAGCTTAATGATGTCTTTGAGATGTTTGCAAATAATCTTGATTGCAGGTGGTGCTAAGCTCTAATATGTTGTGGGTTGGTGTTTCTACTCTCTTCTCTCTAACTTTGACGACGATTTTCTGCTCTTAAGAAATGCCAGGGCATAGAAGGGTGATTGGGTTTTTCTTAGGAAACGCCAGTGCATTGTAGGGGCAGGGGTGGCAGGCAAGGGGTTGGCGTGGCAGGTCGTATAGCATCTTTGATCTTTCAGGGCTTTCGTTTGTCCTCCATGCTGGTTTGGGTCATTAGTTTTAGTCCTGCTGTGTTTAGTTGGTCAGTGTCGTGTGGTTAAGATTAAAAGGTACTGCAAGATTACGGACAGCAAGCTTTATAATAAGTGGCGGTAATCATATCTGATCTAATCTTATTAATATGATTTAATTTAATTAAAAATTAATTAAAATTATTTAATTAGATTAATTTGAGTAAAAAATTAAAAACCAATTAAATTTTGTTTGATTTGTAGTTTTATTT